ATGTAATAAATTTAATTAAATGCTATAATAAAATATAATATTCTCTTATTTATTTTTCACGCTTGCTTTTTTTGCATCTTTGTGCTCTCATTATTCAGAATAATATTTTTATATATTATAATTTTGAATTTAACACATTCGCAGCAATTTTTCCACTATCCTAAAATGAAATGCCACAAGTTCCTACAATAAAGACGAAGAAGACATAGTATTATGTCAGCAGTATTTTGCTTTAGCCATAAAAAGATGTCAGTTTTAATATATTTTCAGTAGTATTTTTTATTTTCTGATGTTTTTGTATTGTTGATGAAGAGCATATAATTCAAAGTTTGTGCCAACAATAGTACTTTTTAAATACCTCTAAGATGCGTTCGAAAATCTTACCCGTGGAATAAGGTAGCGTTCAATTGACCAATCAGGACAAAAAAATTTTGTTCCTTTTGTCCTGATTGGTCGATTAAAAGCTACTGTACCTCACGGGTAGGATCTTTGAACGTACTCTTGTGTCGCAATCACTTCGCACCGATGTGAGTTGGCAGAAACATAATCTGAAATCTGAATCAGTGATCATTTAAGGTCATCGCACGTAAAAAATTTTAGTCCGTAAGGCTGTAAGTAAATCGACCAATCACAGTCAAACATTCTTATTACCTTGTTAGAATGCTTGATTGTGATTGGTCGATTTGCTTATGGGCTTATGATTACGACTAAAATTTTTTCACGTGCAATGGCCTTTAATAAATAATGAATTAACAAGCGCTTTATCAACCGGTCCGAGTCCGAGACGTTGCTGATTGTTCTTCATTACATTCCATGCGCATTCACGCTGCAAGATAATACCAAGTAGAGTGTATGTCCCGGCGATATGGCTCAGTTTCTCAAAAAAGCAGCGTTATTATTATTTAGTCAAGAATGTATGAAGGAGTACTGGGACAAATTCAATTTTCTTCACGGTATGTATACTCCAAGAACACGATAATAGTAATAAAATTTTGTTCCAGCTTTTTATCATAAAAGTAATGAAAGTAACATTTTTATTCATGATACAAATAAAAATTCTTTTTCTCGTATTTTTGCGATTAATTAATTAATATTATTCTTAAAAACTAAATGTTATGTGTCATATTTTTTTAACTCTGTTCTTTTATAAAGAGATACTGATGTATTATTGAAACGCTATACTGTTTCTGTTTTTAGTATAATAAATTTAAAATTTATTGGCGATCTTCTCCTTATAAATAAACACAGTTGTATGTAGATAAAACTTGATATGATTATTTTGTAATTGTTTCAGTCGCATGCTTCAAGGTGACGTTAAGCAAATTTGTAGGATTGTCCATTGTTGGAGGTTCTTTGCTTGGCAAGTACAATCATTACGTTAGCAAAACATAAATATATTTCATTGCTTTATGAAAATATATGCCTTGTATTTAATTTGATAATCATGATTTTTTGTAATCACTTTAAGATGCGATTTTATCATATGATTTATATTAACTTAATATTAAATTAACTTAAATTATTTATAAGTTAATTTATTTATAAGTCATGTAATAATATATTTATATAATTCTGTTTTGCTGTTTTATACATATATGTATCTTATCTAAATGTGCCGTCATCTTTTTTTTTTTTTTTTCTTTTTTAGTAAAGGTACCTCAAATAATGAAAATTCTAAAAAGCAAGAGCGGTAAAGGAATTAATGTCTTCAGTATATTCTTAGATTTATTTGCCATTACTGCGACGTTGTCTTATAGTTTTATGAAAGGATTTCCATTTAGGTGAATAAGTAATTTATTAACGACAAAATAATGCACACAGAAAGAGCATTACTTCTGCTTCAAAATTTATTCAACATTATATAATATTGTAATTTTAGTGCCTGGGGAGATGCAGTATTTTTAGCATGTCAGACTTCGATTATTGCAGTTTTAGTAATGCATTATAATGGAGATACAGCAAAAGCAACTGCGTTTCTATCCGCTTATTTAGCAGTGGTTTTTGCAGCTAACAGTGGACTAACACCTATCCATATTCTCTGGGCATGCCAATCAATGAATATACCTATTGTTCTTATTGGTAAGGTATGTAATTTGATATCAAAACTACGGTAATTCTTGGAAAAGAAAATGTCTTATTCTTGTTATCGCTTAACTTATATATGTTTGAAATTTTAGAAAATATTAATCAATGACTTTATATGATTATAGTTTTCACAAGCCTACACAAATTATTCCAATGGAAATACCGGCCAATTATCGGCGGTAACATGTTTTATGCTCTTCTTCGGTTCTCTTGCGAGAATTTTTACTTCTATTCAAGACACAGGCGATACAGCTATGATAACAATGTATATGTGTTCTACATTGGCAAATGGTATAATAGTGATGCAGCTTCTTTACTACTGGAACATAGATGTTAAGAGCAAAGAGAAGATAAAAAAGAAAGAATAAAATGAAAGAAATGTGAATGTTTATATACAGTGTGCAATTGATAATTTATATAAGCTGATAATCATAAATTTGATATACATGGCTGTATAAAATTTTATGTAAATAATATTTCATGAAGTCAATGTGATATTGAAAAGATGAATACTTGGGAATTAGTTTCCAGAGGAAATAAATTTGGAATTGTGTTCATCATTATATATTGCTGGCCATTCAAATTGCAACACTATGTATATATGTAGTGTTGCAATTTTAATAGCCAATAGTAAATATAAACAGTTTGAAACCTCCTATTGTAACAGTCAATATCGTTTTGTATTTTGAAAATTAAAATATTTACTCTCATCTTTTATCGAAAGATATTATATATAAGATGACAATACATACTCAAGTCTAAAGAGATATTACTCTTTAAATATGCGCAATTAGATAAGATAACTTAGATTATTGTTGAATGCATTATCTCAGCGTATTTGTTAAATTCTTTCAAATATAGAACAAGGCAACATCTTTTTTTTTAGAAAAATTGTAAGCAATTAAGTGTACTTTAGACGATTTTGCAACAAAATTTAAGACAGAAATTTATTTATAATTTAATGTTCAGTGTATTTTTATATATGTGCATGTATGTCCTAATATGTATTTTGTATATGTGTGTACATTTTATTTTTCTAAATTACACGAAGAATACATACAAAATTATAAATATAATTCTGTCATAAAACATAGATTATCTAAAATATGTTTAAGAAATATTTTATATATCTGTTATATAATAATTTATAAATTGAAATTTCTTGATATGTATTGTATTAAGCAAATTATCTATGTATTAAATTATTATATTGTTGATATATATATATAAATGATTATATTGTTGATCGACCAGTCGATTGCAACCGTTGGGTCGACTGGTCTGACCTGACTTATTATATCCCAATTGCCATGACGCTACAACATTGCGTTACGCAACAAATCAGTTTCCGATAAAAATCATAAATCAATCTCAAATTAATCTGACTCATATAAAGCATATATTTTTTATTTTAATTAATCTTAAACCTGTTTCATACTTCTGTAGAAAATTCCAAACAATTCAACAAGAACCTATATGTATATACTGACTGCGTTCCGATATTCACTCCTAGTATTGAAAATCTATAATTTACGTCACGTACACTATAGATTTTCAGTACTGGCAGCATAGACATAGTATATGTAGACCGAGCGTTTGCCTTTATTTAATGAGTGGGGGTAAAGATGCTCTAAAATATGTTTAAGAAATATTTTATATATCTGTTATATAATAATTTATAAATTGAAATTTCTTGATATGTATTGTATTAAGCAAATTATCTATGTATTAAATTATTATATTGTTGATATATATATATAAATGATTATATTGTTGATCGACCAGTCGATTGCAACCGTTGGGTCGACTGGTCTGACCTGACTTATTATATCCCAATTGCCATGACGCTACAACATTGCGTTACGCAACAAATCAGTTTCCGATAAAAATCATAAATCAATCTCAAATTAATCTGACTCATATAAAGCATATATTTTTTATTTTAATTAATCTTAAACCTGTTTCATACTTCTGTAGAAAATTCCAAACAATTCAACAAGAACCTATATGTATATACTGACTGCGTTCCGATATTCACTCCTAGTATTGAAAATCTATAATTTACGTCACGTACACTATAGATTTTCAGTACTGGCAGTGAATATCAGAACGCAGCCATTATATGTACTTCGTCATGTCGGAAGTCGGACGCTTGGCGGGCGTTCGATAAAATAGTTCCGCATGCGCATGCGCCGCCCGATCGTCCCACGAGCGCTATCGTTTCCGTTTCGTCACAATCGTGACTCGCACTCGCACTACGATACACGGTGACTCGAGCACGCGTTTATTCGTTTTCGAGGATGTCTCGTAGCGCAACGTGATTCTTTCTGAGTTTTCATTGCCAGATCATTGCGGAACGTAATACCCCGAGCGAGCGGTAAGTAACACTCTTGCAATTACCGGGTCCAGTCTCGCTGGCGAGAAATGAGCGTTGGATAAAAAGGTGGTAGCCGAGCGGCGGAGAGAGAGAGCGTCATGGCGCCGATGCCCTTCGCAGTTCTCCGGGTCCTACCCTCAACGACCATCTTGTGTTGTCGATAAATCAATATACAGCGCACGCTTCTCGCCTATGAGCGTTAGTACGAGATAATTCATTACGACGTCAGGCTGACAATATTCATCGGGCACAAGGGGGTCTCATTCTGCACGATGTGGTTGCTTTGTCTCTGATAGCGCGATGGCCGCGCGGAATGCTGCAATCTTTGATAATTCGATGCAATGCCGCCAGACATTCCGAGTAGGCGCGCGATAATAAATAAACGGAAGCGGTGACGTGTAGATTTTCGAATTCTTCATTTCTCTGGACCGTAAATGACGGTTCGGCAACGTGTCCTTGAACACATTGGAATGTTATAAATGTTTAAAGGACGTTCTTTTTATGCATGAGAAAATGGTTATGAATAGTTACACCTGTGTAACAATGTGCCGATATACCTATATAATGATGTAACGGACATACTTGTGGAAATCTCATAGCAGCATAAACAAGTGGACGAATAATTCGAACGCGCCGATTTTCAGTCTTACAGATTAGATTGGTCTCTTTGTTGAGCGAAATGGAATCTATGGACGCGCGTCTCGTGGCGCAAGCGTTGAACTACCATGGCCAACAGTTGCAGAAAGTATGGGAAGGAGAACGCAACGAAAATGAGCTGGTCATGCTCAATCTCAAGGATCCTAGCTTTGAGATATATCAACAGCGCCAAAAGACTCTCAGGTATGCATTATTGGTCACCTATGAAGATAATCTAGATATATTGGAATTTATTTGTTGCACCTCATTGTAATATTTTTAATTAAATAAAATGCTATATACCTTGCAGCTTTGGGGACAGAGGCAAACGCCTGAAGCTTCAACAATTCCTTGCTAAAAAAGCTGATGCCCTATACGATAAAGCAAACTTGGAGAAATCTACAGACTGCATTAAACAAGAACTTGGAGATGAAGGTAATGATTTTTTTTAATATTTTTCTTTTCCTTCATTCTAAAACGAGGCAATAATTACATAATAATGTCCATTTGTACTTTCAGAATTTTATGCTACAGTACCAGCACTTGATACTTTTGTCACCATGGAAAAATCTCAGCGCATTCGCAATTTTTTGGAGGTATAGAATGTTCAAAATATCAATAAAAAAAGCAAATATATAATTTTTTTACAATTCTTCAAGTTGATATTATCTCTTTAATTTGCAGAGTTTGGTAGTTGGGGATGTAATTTACGCGCAAGTGATGGGTAAAAGCGCCGCAGGTCTGCTTCTGAAGGTGCTTTGCAACTGCAGTGACTGTCCCAGAGTTGTTACTGAATTAGGAGTTAAGGTATATATCGATATGATACTTCTTATTAATATTATTTTTAGAAATTTTATATATCAATTTTTTATTTTATTTGTATATTTTTGATAAAGTTCGTGTATATTTTGTTTAATAGGCACTGATATTAAATACGGCCACTGTGCCGGCGGTGGACAAGAAAGGTGTAACAAGGGGCTACATGGCAAATGATCTCGTCTGCGTCGTAGTCAGTGAAGTTAACGTTGAAGCCGAGCGTGTTGTTGCAGTTATGAACATATCTGCTCGGGAAGGGCAAGCGCCGCACCCACCTATGGGACTTATTCATTCCGATGATCTTCCGGAAGCCTATAAGTAAGTTAATAGAATAAATTCGACTAGATATAATTGCAAGTCTACTGAATCCATAGTATGCTTCACTAACTCTTGTAAGTTGGTTTTTTATATTACTATGAGATATTTTATTTACACGATAAACGATGAAAGCGTTTTGTGATGTCACACTTTGTTCATTGTGTATTATCATATGAGCACTTGCACCGAGAAAGACAAAATCAAAATTTTTTTACCTAATTGTAATAGATCCAAGGTCGATACACTGACTTTCTTCTTTGATTGTACATTGCTTTATAACATGATATAAATTTTATTACATATATAATTTAAGATTAAATAGGTAAAAATAATATGGCATGGTGGGAAAACAAAGCCGAATTTTAACAGAAGCACTGTGATACTAACAAAATTAGGTAAATTAGATTTGATTCCTCTTACACGTTTTTATGAATTTAGGTGCCAGATACTCTATGTAATGTAAAAAGTTGATAGTCAGTATGATGATGAATTTCTAATGTGATACAAATGAATTCAAACCTTGAATATTGGTTGACATGGCTCTGTTCCGCACATATTCTATCTACATTTGCGATATGTTACTCTCAAAACACCAGCCAGACTATGGCGCAGATGACTTTTGAGGTTGAATTTCCAGTATGAGACGTTGAGCCTCGAGCGGTCAGAGTGAATGCAACAGACGGTAGGTATAACACTGATTTAAAGTTGTTTGGTCTCTTATCCGGGATATCCAGAGAATATATAGTGACTTTTGATCCAGTATGAGACGTTGAGCCTCGAGCGGTCAGAGTGAATGCAACAGACGGTAGGTATAACACTGATTTAAAGTTGTTTGAGTTGTTTGGCGGGATATCCAGAGAATATATA